CCGGATCTGGGTGGGGCGGGCCGCGAGTCAGGGGCCTGGCCGTGAGCGCTCTCGGCCGCCCGCCCGGGTGCCCCGACGTACTTCCCGCTCTGCCCAGAGGTGCCGGGCGGCCAGGGACAGTCCTGCCTCTCTGCAGCCTCAAATTTCGGCTCTTGGGCCTCCGTTTCCCCAGACTTCCTAACAGATGCTGAGGACTTGCTCCTCTAGGCTCTGTGAGCAAAATATGAGAGGGTTCCAAACTCCAATGACAGGCAGGGCCTGGGAGGGAGGGAGGGAGGGGACACTTTCCTGTGGATGCCACAGCTGCTGCCTCACTCTTATGGAGGCCAGAGAGTAGCCGCTTTTCTTTCTTTTTGACTTGGGGTCTCCCTGTCACCCAGGCTGGAGTGCAGTGGCAGGTCACAGCTCACTGCAGCCTTGACCTCCTGGGCTCAGGCAGTCCTTCCACCTCAGCCTCTGCCTCCCAGGTAGCTGGAACTACAGGCATACGCCACCACACCTGGCTACTTTTTTGATTTACCGTAGAGACGAGGTCTCACCAAATTGCCTAGAGAATGCTCCCGCCTCAGCCTCCCAAAGTGCTGGGGTTACAGGTGTGAGACACCGTGCCTGGCCAGAAATGCTATTAAAAAACAAACTTGTAAATGATGACATCTAAATCGAAGTACGTCCAAGGCTCCACTTTGCTCACTCGTTGCCAGTGTGTCTGCCTTCTGCTTCTCACATACTCTCACTGAGGGGCAAGAATCATCACCCAAGCCGGACTCGGTGGCTCAGCCTGTCATCCCGCACCTTTGGGAAGCTGAGGTGAGTGGATTGCCTGAGCCCGCGGGTTCGAGACCCGCCTGGGCAGCGAGACCTCATCTCTACAATAAATCAAAAAATCAGCCGAGCATGGTAGCGCATGCCTGTAATTCCGGCTACTCGGAAGGCTGAGGCGGAAGGATCGCCGGAGCCCAGCAGGTCGAGGCTGCGGTGGCCGGGAGCGGCCACTGCACTCCAGTCTGGGTGACAGAGTGAGACTCCGACTCAAAAAAAAAAAAAAAGAATTATTACCCAGCTTACAGAAGGGAAAACAGGATTGTGGACAGGAAGTGACTTGCCAAGGATCCAGAAAAGCTTGGGGTCAACCCAGGCTTGGCAGATCCCAGGACTCTTAATCATCACCCCCACTCCAGCAGGAAGGGTTCTCAGAGATTCTTCTTCCAGGGACATTTTGGCAGGAAAGCCCATGTAAAGAGAGTGGAGGATGACAGCTTAGTGCAGAGCCTGCAAGCTGGGTGGCCCCAGCCACTAGCAGCCTGGCAGGCTTCTTCTCTTCCAGGCCCCAGCTTGGATACCTCCTCTTCCTGGAAGCCCTCCTGACCCCTGGCTGGGGCAGCCTCTCTAGGTCCCTTTAGGTCATCAGTGTGGCTCCAGTCTAAGCTCCCCGCCTAAATCCTCTGCTTGGACACCTCCATTCAGGGATCCCAGTCCTGCCCTCAGCCTCACCCCCCGGAGCCCAGCTCACCATGAACACAAAGATGGAGACACAGCACCAGCCTAGCACCAGGTAGTAGCCAATCTTCCCAAAGAGCAGGCCCATGAGGACCCCGCCAATCATCCTGGGGGAGGGAGAGCAGGCTGGTGTGAGGCCGAGGCCCGAGGGGCTGGGCTGGCAGGGAGGGTGGGGGGACTCACCCAACATATTTGTAGCCCAGGAAGGCCACCAGGTCGATGGTGGTGAGGTCGGTGTTGACAGTGACCAGGTAGAGGCTGAGCAGGATGGCCAGCACCTCCACTGTCAGCCAGGCCAAGGCCGAGCTGGCCTGCAGCCCCAGGAGGTCCGGGGAAAACCTGCGGGCGCCAAGCTCTGTCACTTGGTTGGCCAGGGCAGACCGTCCCTGAGCATCTGCCTGGAGACAGCTCTGCGTTGGGTGGGGCTGGAGACTCAGCTGTGACCGCAGTGGATCTGGGCCCTATCCTCATGGAAACTCCATTCTGGAGGGGGGCAGACAGTGAGGCCTGGCAGGGTGTGTGTGTGGGGGGGGGCAGAGTTGGAATCAGAAGGGGGTGTCAAGGAGGGCTTCCCAAAGAGGGGACGCCTGATTCGAGGCCTGAGGAGGAGGGAGCTGGTCAGGGAAGAGGGCTCATGGCCTCTGTCATATCCCCAGGGCCTCATCAATTAGCTAATTAATTGGTTCTAATGACAGATATCCTCAGTGCCACCAATGAAATGAACAGGGCATTATGAGTGAGAGGTAGGGGGTTGGACCTGGTCTGGGGGTACAGGAAGGCTTCCCTGAGGAAGTGACATCAGAATAAAGACATCGTGAGTGAGCAGGTGCTCAGCAGGTGATGTGGGGAGGAACAGGCTCCTGAGCAACGGGAAGGGATGTGCCAAGGCCCTGGGGAGGCCTCGAGGGCCTCTGGAGGGCTGGGAAGCAGACAAGAGTGGGCAAGGCGGGGCAGTGCTGGGCTGAGGAGCTGGAGCTTGCTGGGGAACTAAGGAAGGCACAGAGGGGCCGGGTGGGGCGTGGCCAGGCTGGCATCTCAAGCCAAGGCTGTCCTGGCTGCTGCTGGAGTGGGGCGGCAAGGGGTGTGGGGGGCGGAGTCAGGAGGAGGCGGGTCCTTGCCAAGGGCTGCACGTGGATAGGAGGGAAGGGGGAGGCGGAGGGCTCCGTCCTGGGCCAGTCAGGAGCCCAGGGAGGGGCTGTTCTGAGAGGGAAGTCGAGGCCTTCCTGACCACCCCCCCATGCTCGACTGGACTTGGCCTGGCCCGGCCTCCCTTACCTGTCCTGGGTCCCCAGCGCCAGGCCAGCCACCAAGACGTAGGTGATGAAAGCCATTGCTGCGGGAGGCAGACACACAGACGGGTCAGGAGTGAGGCCGGTCCCAGGCCTCCAGGCCTCCAGGCCTCCAAGCCCCCGCCCGAGACGTGCCTGCCCAGAGGAAGGACAGGGTGGAGAGGGGCCTGCAGGCTGACACCTGGAATGTAGAGGTCCGGAGCGTTGACGTCAAAGCGGGGAGCCACCGGTGTGTCCTGCTGGTATCGCACCTCCCAGTCCTGCGGGGTCCAGGGGTAAGCAGGACCCTCAG